AACTTACTAGAAAGCTAAAAACAGCCTCTTTTAATCAGGGAAGAAATTGGCCGGGAACACTTAATAACCCTATCGTATCATAGAAGCAGAAAAAAAGACTACTATTTCAATTATAAAGACCTACCTTTGTTCATAGAAAGAAACAGTAGCAGAATTATTATGTATTATCTCCTTCTTTTTGCTACTCTTGGTCAGGCTTGTTCTAGTCTAACAGGACAATGGGAAGTACAAAAGGGTGATACAATTTATAGTGCAGCCAACGCCCTTCAACAGGACTACCGGGATATTATAAAACTCAATGTGAAGATGCCCTACAAGGATCTGAAGGAGGGTAGCAAATACACCGTTCCATACATCGAGGGGGTATCTTACCCTGCTACTTGGAGCACTTCTTCCTGTACTCCTGTACTCCATCTTAACATTCTTACACCTACTTCTGCACGCTCTAGCGAAAGCGAGATGATTTCAGAATCCAGTGTTTCAAGATCGCTTATTTCTGAGAAGCTCACCAGTAATCCGGCGGCGTCTGAAAATACACCCACACCTGCTGATTTTTATCCTGATTCCACGCTAGTACGTAGCACTAAAGCCACAGACACTGTGTCTGAGGCGAAAGCCACGAGTTTCATCCCTACTTTAGATTCTCGAGCACTACAGTCTACATTAATATCACTCTCTACACCGGGATCTCAACCTACGACAGCCGTTTTATCTACTAAACCCGATGACCTTTATACAATATACGAACCAATATGCCGTGGTACTACCGATCTTATTACAGCGCCTGATTATCTAACTAAAATTACGGAAGGGTTTTGCCGTAAGCATGGGCAAGTATCAATGTCAAATTCCGTTGATAGTATCACGGAACTCTACAAAGATCAGGCGGATAGAATCTACCAATTATCTGCTTCGTGGAAAGATGGATGCCAGGAAATATCAGAGTAATTATTAGATGTAGGAGGCACCTGCTGGTATAATATAGTTGGTAGCTGGCGAAAATGTAATATGAACTTGGGTGCTGGATTCCGTAGGCAATTTGGTTGTGTGGTTTTTGGATACCAGCCAAATTTATCTCCAGAGTATATAAACTCTTGATTTTCTATTAGTTTTCTATATCGAAATTAATATTCTACATCTTCAAAATGGTTTAATTATATATAGAAGATAGATACTAGGCGTTGAAAAAAAAAAGATCAAATAACTATTTTAGGTTGATCAAGTGTGTTCACGACCGCTAGGGTCTATCTGCTCGGACCTTGGCAAAATCCGCGGCGCTATATTTTAGGCGATAATTCGCGAACCCTAGATTCAATATATCTATCTTTCTATTAGGTTCCGAAGAACCCTTATTTTAAAAGCTACAGCTCGCCTACCTACTCTATACTCCAGGTTCTGCAGAAAGCTACTCTACTACTATCAACCAAGCAGTCTATAATCCGACCGACCCCTTCTTTGCCTTGAGTATTCACCTACAATCAACAAATCAGAAAAGCGTTCTATAGGAGCCTGAGAACGGTGGGAACAGAAGAGATAGCGAGATATATCCTCGCCGTATCACGCCAACAGAGTGCCAGAAGTAACCTCAGTATCTTTATACTATTTGGAACAAGTCCCAGATTTCCCAGATCCCGTATAGACAGCACAAAAAACTAATATATGCCCTAAACGAGGTAGCTCCAGCATCTTCAGTTTACGTTTAGCATGTGCTTATGAAGAGGAAGATGGTGATGCTCCAAAATATAAATAAATATCCAACTAGATGAATTATTGTTTTACGCCTAGAGTCCCGTATACCCAGGAAGTTTGTTATTCGGTTAATTTCTTATAAAATTCGATCCTTTCTTCTGGATTTAACCTGAATGTATCTTTGATCCAAGCCAATCGGTCCTTTTTCTCTATCTTCGTCTGTTTCCTCTTTTTCTTTATATCTTGGTCAAAATCACAATTGCAGATAATATTTTTGTAAGGTCCCGTTTTATAGTTAATCTCGTGACAAAGCGGCGAACTAATACGAGGTCGAAACCGTCTATATGTCTGGTGGTAAAGGTAATGAGTTATAATGAATCCGGGAACCTCCTGTTCGATATAATCAAGGTCTGGGATCTTATATATAACTTCAGATTAGTTGTTGTTAGTCTCTTATAGTGCCGGAAATAAATATAGCCGAAAATAGCTTTTATAGCTTTTGGAATTTCCTCATGTCGGTTAATAGCTTTCGCATTAAGCGAGTACTATATGTATATAAATATATAACATATAGAATCCTGTGGAGTATGTACAGTATATTGTGCAATATATATTATAAAAACTATGTCCAGCTTCCCTTTCTTATGATTGAGCTATTTTTGAAAAGAAGTCCTGCTAAGACCATGTCATAGTGCTAAATAGATGCGTGCTGTCTCTACCTTAACACTATAAATACCAGGCCGGAAACCTTTCATCCTCGCAGGTAAGCCCGATTATTTCTTTCTACTATAACAGATTCGGCAAGATGGTATCCAAAAATATGTCTTGATCCTTGTTTCTATCGCCTTCTTCTTTCGCGTTCTATCCATTTCCACCTCCTGCGCTTCCTTCCTTTCCTGCGCTCCCAGTGATACACCATCGCACCTTCGCATCCCTATAGGCTCTGAGGATGTCGTAGAGGCGATTGATGTTGGACCGTTTGGGCTTGATCACTATGAGCTTCATTCGAGTACCCCAGTGGCCAGTCCCCCAGGTTCTGGTCGACCACAAAGCTGGTTAATCCCTGAGCCAAGTGCCCCGGGACATCAGTCATCATTACTACTCTATACTATCGCGTGGATGTTGCGACTACGTAAAGGGAAATTGACAAAGACGTCCATATTGCACCCGGTGCTTGGAAAGAGAACCTAGAATCTAAAATCGCAGAGAAAGCCGAAACACGAGTTCCCGAGCCCCAATACAATCACCACGATACTATCATCGTAAAACCACATTTGCTATCGTTGGGGTTATCTTAGGCTCGGGCCCAGTGCGCTTCGCAGGTGCAGTTTTCGTTCCCAAATCGCGCGAATGTCGATCGTATTCTCCGCAGTGATCGACTTGTACAAGGCACAACATCAAAAATAGCCTCGCTAGAAAAGCCTTTATCATATGGAGGATCTGGTCGTTCTGGGATCGGATGCTATATCGAGAAGGATGTTCTAGCCTGCATGAAGGAAGAAACCGAGTCAGGGGGGAAACGTGGGGGGTAGCAGAAGGACGCTAGGGTCCGCTGCAATTGGCGTAAGCCTTTAACAAGAGTCATTCTGTTGCAGGGACCAAAAATGGTTCCTGTCCAGAAATGGCTCTTGTCAAAGAGACCAGAAATGGCTCTTGTCAAATAGCTCTTGTCAAAGAGACCAGAAATGGCTCTTGTCAAATAGACCAGAAATGGCTCTTGCCAAAGAGACCAGAAATGGCTCTTGCCAAAGGGACCAGAAATGGCTCTTGCCAAAGAGACCAGAAATGGCTCTTGCCAAAGAGACCAGAAATGGCTCTTGCCAAAGAGACCAGAAATGGCTCCTGTTGGGCGGGGCACTCTATCCAATTAGACTGCATACTGTGATCAGAGCTACTTAGTGACTTCCTTTATAAATACAACAGAGCTATCAAGCGGACGCTGAACCTGTATTTCATTGTAGAATATCGAATACAGCTCGTTCATTAGACTGTACATACCCATAACCTGAACAACAGTCCGCAGTGGCTTTTAAAGATGGATACCACTGCTCCCTCTTATGTGATTAGCGTAGAGCTGGTACAATATGTCTTTGCACTTATCATCTTTTGCCTGTGGGTGGTAAATTCTGTGATACTGCTATGTTTCTGGGGCCTAGCGAGGATACGCAAAGCAACCAGCAACATTAACAGCAGAGACAAGCGATGAAAGAGCGATAATATATACATGGTTTATGGAATCCTAACTCATGTTCTGCAAGAGATAAAATGGTAGTCAGATCAAAATTGTGGTATATTTTAGGGTTTCTTGATGATGGGGATGATAAGATCCTGTCCATAAATAGCGCCTGGCCGCTGGGTCCCTAGGCTGTTTGAAGCAACATGCAAGTTTCAGCTGCACATAACCGTGAGAGGAGAATGGAGTTATATTTGCATCCCCTCCTATGAAACAATCCCCGTTGCCGCTCGTGATTTCCTCCTCCTTGTTCCCACAGAGAGGCTTCTTCGACAACAATGGCCAATATTCCACAAGACGCTAAAATACTCGAAACAAGAGGTGATCTTCTCGCGAGGAATTTTACGCCCGTTAGCATCACCTCCAAACTTGACGCTGGAAAACCTCATACAGACATAGTCCCCCCTTCGCAACACGCAATCTAATTCACCAGCTCAAATTATTATCATCGCACCAATCTATGCCATGGGGAGCGAGGGAATTTCTATCATTAACACGGCATTTCTGCGCAGCAACTGGGAGATACTCGATTGCTTTTCCGGCAGGCAAAAATGACTCCAAAGACACCGATGCAGGGGTAGTAGCTAGACGAGAGCGTAAGGAGGCAACACCCTTCAAGTTGACGACTCGAAAAACCTGAATGGGTGCTATAGTCTTTCAGCTTATTCTTCTAATGGGCGTTTCGATGAGACGTTTGCGATGGCCCTGAACTATCGAACCAAAGGACAGCACTACTTTCACAACGTACTCTGGCTGAAAACACTTAGTGGGAAGAGAAACGAAAGTTACGGAGATAGCGAGTACTCAGAGCTTTCACTTGAAAGTTTGGTTATATAAATGGAAATAATACTATAAGATAACAAGTGTACGTTGGATGGTCGTTCGATGTAGGATGGAGGAGTTTAAGCTCAGAGTTCGAATAATTCTACTATACTAGATTTCATATATCGACAGTGCAATACTGGTCAGATTGATTCATTTTCTGAAGTCATAGGATATCAGATTTGCAAAGTTGAAAATAACAAAGGGCTCCAGTACAACTGACAGTCCAACAAACGAAAAAACTGGCTGATACCTGCTAGCTCTGATAGCCTATCGAGAAATAGCATCTGCTTTGTAATCCGACGCTAAAGGCCAGCCAGGTTTAGTTTGTCTCTTCCGATTTGCCACTACTTATTCATCCTCTTTTCTTCGAGGAGATTATCCACCCACTTCCCGCAGTTTTCGACTGCACCGGCCGGGGACTTGCAGTATCTCTGAAGATAATTCATAATCTCTGCCGGGCTAAACTTGCTATCCGGAACTCTTTCGGCAAAAGCTTCTGATTGTTTCTCTGTATCGATATTTTCCTGACCCCCAAGCATGTAGGTGAACATAGCCTTCGCAATGGGCTTACTAGCGAGTTCAAATTCGGCTTTTATATCAACCCGACCAGGTCTAATAATCGCTTTATCGAGTTTGTGAAGATGATTCGTCGTTAGAATAAAAATTCGATTAACTTGGGATGAAACACCATCAAGGGTATTTAAAACGCTGGAGAGAGATACCCCTCCTGAGGATCGAATAGCCGTGTTATTATGTGGTTCAGGAGGATTGAAGTGTTGAGGGCTAGCAGCTCCAATAACGTCGATATCCTCCAGTAATGTGATATATCTTTCCGGAAGACTAGCAAATAAATCTTTCAGGTTTCGATCGTCTATATTCGGGATACTGAATATATAAATATTCATATCCAATTCACCAGCAATTGAAATACTGAAGCTCGTTTTGCCCGTCCCTGGAGGGCCATAAAACAAATATCCTCGTTTGTACGGAATCCTGCGATCAGAATACCAACGCCTAGTCTCGGGGTCAAGAAACTTCGCAAGGTCTCTTACAACTTTTTCTTTTAGGCACTTATTTAGAATAACTGTTGAAAGAGGTCGAGTATCAACTGTCGCATCAATCTTCCAATTATTGCCCTGATTTCTATAGATTATTGTTTTGTTTCTTAGTGTTTTCAGATACTGACGGTGGCACTCTGATATAAAGTCTTTCAAGATAGAAGGAGATCTGCTGATGTATGAAATAGAGACTTTCTCCTCTATACGGAAACCAAGATCTGTATGTGTAGTTCTGTAAATAAGTAAGTTCCTCTTATACCAGAAATAGAAAACTCCCTCCCAGGGGAGATAGCTGAGTGGTTTCTTCGAGCAAGTATTGAATTTATCTTCATTATCTTGCCTTGCTCCTATAGTGACCAGCACGGATCGGGCAGTGCAGTCTGATTTATGAAATAAAATCCAGCCCTGAACCATATTGTAAGTTTCCTCGTAAGGCCTAATGTGAACCGTCCATTCTTCTAAAGTTAGCATTCTTGATGTAGAGCAGGAAACGGAAACTTACGGAAGAATTCTAGAAACCAATCTCTCAATTGAAATAGATATGGTTTCGAGAGAGCACCCAACACGAAGAGGCATAAGATTTGAGTACAGCCACTAAGCTGGCCACTAAAGATCTGACTGATAGCATTGGAAATAATAGCGAACCCTGGAATTAAAAGTTCTACCATGGGTAGCTGTTGAGACCCTGCTTCCAGAGGTATTTGTCTTCCAAGGAGCATCATGGTATGCGAATAGATCGAAGTATCGGTCTGATAATACGACAGAGGCTACTCAAGATCAGATTTGTAAAAGGGATGATCTCTAGTCGCTCTCCAAATAACGCTGGGCTCGATATACGGAAGAATTTATATAGTATGTATACTATGGAGCCATTAGTGGCCATAAAGACACGGTCAAAGCATAGTCATGGTATAAATATCAAATTTAATCCTCAAAGGCCAAAACTAGCTACTAGGGCGTATGGCAAGATATATTATATTGCGTGCGGAAAGGTTTTTATTCACGGCGCGGATCTCATGTTAACTACTATATCAGATGACAAGCACACGGGATTTCCCGAGCCATTTAGTAAATGTTGTTATTATCAAGTGTAGTGATCTTTGAACCAATAAAGCTAACCCTTGCAGGGTGCAACACAAGACAGTCGTATCCAGAGGCGAAGCAAAACACATTTATATCACAAAACGACGTCCCATGGAACGGACAAATTCTACAGCATAGACTTCAATCTCGAGAGCGCAAAAAAAGAGACATGGGACTAAGGGGCTACAGTATTACTAAATATTAGATAACTTTTTTAGTATAATACTACAGTGTGGAGCATAACCAGCTTCCGCTCTGTTGTCTTTCTAGTTATTTTTACGGGGAGGGAGTACCTGGAAATACCTTAGTGTACATGCCTCAATATTTAACAGTATGGGAAATGTCCGTTAATGGCCGGGAAATGAGTTCCGCAAAGTAGACTAAGTACTGAGGTGGGACGATTGTGCCTACAGTGTTAGCGCGAAATTTCAATACCTTGAGTAAGCGATGAGGTACATCTGGTCTCGGGTGCCAGGCTGGCGACTTAATTACATGATCTTCAACGCTGACTTTCACAAGACCTTAAGACAATTTTATCAAATACGTTCATATTACTAAATCTGGGAAATATAGTAACGGCCAAGGAATATAGTAGAGGATATAGCAAGGGAATAGATACATTCAGCTAGCTACCTTAGTTGCTGCATCAAGCTCTTCTGTAGATACCTGTAATATAACAACTCTCCCTGTCCTGCAACCAATCACAATATTTGGCCCATAACATGCCCATTCCCCCCCGCGACATTCTGTTGGGAGCCAAAGAGTGTTCTCCCCTCGCCAGGTAACCCAAGATACTGTAAAATCGATGGCGAGATCTTGGAATAAGTCAAAGCTAGAAGGGGGAGATGATGTCGCAGGAGGGGCAATTGCGTTATCGAGTGCAATTATCCCAGCGTCTGTACGAAGGTTCTGGCCACCGGGCAAAAAGCATAGATTACGGGTAAGCCGCCCAATCTGGACGATACTTCTACGTTCGCCCGTCTCGATGCTCCAGATCCGTACTGTATTATCAGCTGAGGCTGATGCTACCACTTTGGAGTCGTGTGAGAACACTACCGATGTGACCCAATCGCTATGGCCCTCCAGAACTTGCTGGCACTCGCCTGTCTTGATGCTCTAGATCCGTACTGTACTATTATCTGAGGCCGATACTACCACTTTAGAGTCGTATGAGAACACTACCGATAAGACCGAATAGCTATAGCCCTCCAGAACTTGCTGACACTCGCCCGTCTCGATGCTCCAGATCCGTACTGTACTATCGCGTGAGGCTGATGCTACCACTTTGGAGTCGTATGAGAACACTACCGATGTAACCGAATAGCTATAGCCCTCCAGAACTTACTGGCACTCGCCCGTCTCGATACTCCAGATCCGTACCGTATTATCGGCTCAGGCTGATGCTACTACTTTGGAGTCGTGTGAGAATACTACCGATGTGACCGAATAGCTATAGCCCTCCAGAACTTGCTGGTACTCGCCTGTCTCGATGCTCCAGATCCGTACTGTACTATCGCGTAAGGCCGATACTACCACTTTGGAGTCGTGTGAGAACACTACCGATGTGACCTAATTGCTATAGCTCTCCAGAACTTGCTGGCACTCGCCTGTCTCGATACTCCAGATCCGTACCGTATTATCAGCTGAGGCTGATGCTACCACTTTGGAGTTGTATGAGAACACTACCGATATGACCGAATAGCTATAGCCCTCCAGAACTTGCTGGCACTCGCCTGTCTCGATACTCCAGATCCGTACTGTACTATCGCGTGAGGCTGATGCTACTACTTTGGAGTTGTGTAAGAATACTACTGATAAGACCGAATAGCTATAGCCTTCCAGAACTTGCTGGCACTCGCCTGTCTCGATGCTCCAGATCCGTACTGTACTATTATCTGAGGCCGATACTACCACTTTAGAGTCGTGTGAGAACACTACTGATGTGACCCAATCGCTATGGCCCTCTAGAACTTGCTGGCACTCGCCTGTCTCGATGCTCCAGATCCGTACTGTACTATTATCTGAGGCCGATACTACCACTTTGGAGTCGTGTGAGAATACTACCGATAAGACCGAATAGCTATAGCCCTCCAGAACTTGCTAGTACTCGCCCGTCTCGATACTCCAGATCCGTACTGTACTATCGCGTGAGGCCGATGCTACTACTTTGGAGTCATATGAGAACACTACCGATAAGACCGAACGGCTATAGCCCTCCAGAACTTACTGGTACTCGCCCGTCTCGATACTCCAGATCCGTACTGTATTATCAGCTGAGGCTGATACTACCACTTTGGAGTCGTGTGAGAACACTACCGATATGACCCAATCGCTATAGCCCTCCAGAATTTGCTAGCACTCGCCTGTCTCGATGCTCCAGATCCGTACTGTACTATTATCTGAGGCCGATGCTACTACTTTGGAGTCGTGTGAGAACACTACCGACAAGACCGAATAGCTATGGCCCTCCAGAACTTACTGGCACTCGCCTGTCTCGATACTCCAGATCCGTACTGTATTATCACGTGAGGCTGATACCACGACTTTGGAGTCATGTAAGAACACTACCGATATGACCCAATCGCTATAGCCCTCCAATATTGATAGGCATGGGTCCTAATTATCTGCCACCACAGGCCCACGAGAGATCCACCGTGGAATCTGAAACTGCTTTCGAATAAGGCTATTTCTCGGACTGAAAAGTAATGCGGAAGAATAGATTTGTAGCGGTATCTCGTCGATCATAGATCGGTACATATGGAAAAATCGGATTGCATCATCGATAAAATCTAGGAGTGGTCGACTCTCTCGCCCTTCTTGATTCTGCAGGTAATTAGATTTATTTTCCTGGAATAGTTCGACTCTCATACCTCTAGGCATTTCTGTAACATTTCCAATATAGAAAGTCCCTCTGTAGACCTGCCAATAAGGCAGAGAACCTCAAGCCAGTGGAGCAAGTGATCCAGCAAGAACTTGTGTATGGCTTCCTGATCGAAAGAGCCGCTGTTTTGTATATGATGCACCCAGTAAACACAAGCATACTGCACTTCTGGGAGAATATTGTTGCTGATGGTCTGAGTTTCGATAGATGTACGATTCGTTCCTGGCTGCATGGTTTCGCAAATATCCATATGCAGGCTTTTGTTCATAATTCTAAGGCAGTGCATTGCTAGTCGACTATGAGCCTTTTTCTTGTCAATCCAGAAGCGACGCCCCTGGTACTCAGAGTCTACCAAGAAGTCGTGGAATGAGAGGTGGAATATTCGAACAGGAGATTCTTCTGATGAAGGAATGCTTAGTACTGAATGAAGCAGTCTAAGGTGGGTATGAATCTCCCTTTTGTCGAGCTCTAAGAGTCGGCCAAGGGTAGAGATAGGGAGAGGGTTTCCTAAGAGCACAATAGAACCAACAATATGTTGAAATCTTTTGATTGTCTCTTTCTGCTGCTTTCTGCCTAAGCCATCAACCAGTCGATCTAGAATCGGCTCATAGTTAACGCTTAGTTGAGTTGTATCGCTTCGTCCTTGGAATTTAAGAACTGTCTGCAATTGCTGATCTGGGTGTCTAATCCTGGGATCGGCAAGAGAACGGCAAAGCGTAGCGGCAAAGATAAAAAGAGGAACGGCCATCTTTGTCAAATGATCAATATTTTCTTCCCCTGGCCAATTTTCCGATAGTGGGTATGACTGAGTCGTATCTGCGTTAAAATCCAGCCTAATTTTCAGAAGCTCATGACGGAGGAAAATGGCGATATCGTGCTCTATTATACTGGGTGGTATCTCATGCAATATAAGATCTTGATATAAACCTCTTGCTTGCTGAAACCCCAGCCGAACTGGCAGCTCAGGCCTGCTTGTGATGAAAATTCTGAGTTTTGAGGATAACTCCTCTTTAGTACTAGCAAAGAGATTGATCAGAAGCCTGATGTCCTCGTCTTTATCGCATTCATCAAGTGCATCAATAACAAAAACTAGGGAGGCTGATTCTGGAGTCAGCGTATATCGCAAAGGCTGTATGATCAGTTTGTCAAACAGGTCTCGAGCCGGCCTCTCAGCAATATATGGGTCGCCATCAACAGCGGTTTTGATGTACCTTATCACGGCGGGCTTCCTTCGAGCCAAATCGACGGCAAGGGTCATGAAAACCCTGGACAAGCTCCCTCGGTCAGCTTCTCCTCTCTTGAAGAAAAAGCTGCCACCGAGGCGGCCTGTCCTATCGAAGTCCTGGGCAACAGATCGAGATACTGTCGACTTTCCTGTCCCCGCTTTGCCGTTAAGCCAAAAAATAGGCCTGGTATTAGGATCTAAGGCCTATTTTTGGATAGATTGCAGTAAAACGACCCGAGTATTTGGTAGGCAGACGGTGTTATGCTCGTCGCTTGAGTCGAAAGATGCACCTGCAGCAATAACAAGCCGATCAAATTGAATTTTAGTGCTGATTAAACGGCATTAGACTCCCACTGAAGTTTTTACGACGGCAAATAGATGTACTGCATACGCTGTACTTCCTTCTCTGTACCTTTGACTTTTGCAGAGACTATATAGTAAGATATGTTCAGCATTTGTTCAATATAAAACTTGACGTAAGCTTGATACTTGAGAGGCATAGACTACTGACTGGAATCTAAGGCTTCGGATATTTTTCTCTCTGCCTCAAGTTTGTTTGGCGGTATGCGACTAAGCAGATCCTTTGCGTAAGCAGCGGCGACCATAGCAGCATATCCTTGCCAGATTTTGTTCTTATGTGAGTTAGAGTAATCACAGATTCCTCGGATAATAACACAGGGAAACCGGTTTATCAAACCAGCCGCTTCCATCTCGAAACAGAGTATGTTATGCTCAGCAGCAAGCTTATCCCGAATATGAGCATCCTTCATTAGCTGGTTCGCCGAGGCAATTGTGCTATAGTGGATAGCTGGATTATTTTCGTCGGTAGTCCGTTTGCGTCTTGGGACCTTGTTTGACAGGTTATTGCCACAGTCTGTCGCGCAGCTCGCTCCTTCGCCTCGATGAACAACCTCACTGTGGAACAGTACGTCACTGTCTTCATCTGGTCTCTGGTACTTCTGTCGGAGCCGAGGGAACCTATCGAAGACCTCATTGATCGCTTGTTCGAGTTGATGACCGTGAAGCTCATACTCGGCTCGAATATCCGCTATTGCCCCTCGTAGCAACTCGGGACTCTGGTTTAGGATACCTGTAGCATGGAATTCCTGGTCCTGGATCGTTTTTCCAAAATCATATTGAAATACACCGCCACGTCCATCGCGGGGAGCGCTAACGACAACATCCCCTAACCGAATATCGTGCTTTATGCTCGGAGCCCCATCGCCAATGCCGACCATCAACCCAATTCTGATGTTCGGAAAGCTACTTAGCATACCCTTTGCCACGCTTACAGCAGAGGCAATGCCATATTCACCATCAGGCAGAACGCCGATGACGATGTTGTGCCTCCCTAGGCTTCCCAGGGTGTATACATTCGCATCGTTCGTAGAGACGTAATCGGGACGTTCGTGCTTCTCATCCAGAAAAGATAGCGCTGCAACGTATTCGGGCTGTATTGCACATATCCAGCCGACAGTGTAGGTATTAGCATCGGGCATGTCAATCACTTTAGGGGAATGGGTTCCAAAAGGAAAGCAATGACAAGTGAAAGTAACTTTACGAAGGTTGGAATAAGTAGCGTTAGAGAAATAACACAAAAAAATGAATGTTTCATGCTTTTGCTGAGACACGTAAGATGATGGCGAGGGGTAGAGGCTGAGCATGCACGTTACACGTGACGACGGCTTGAAGGAGCGTACAACCAAATGTAATATCGTAACCTTAGGCAATACGGCGATGAGCCAATCAACAGTCAAGAATAACATCGGCGGCGGCGGCAGCATTGCATAGTCCTTAAGCCCACAACAGCAGCTGATAGGCAAACTAAGAACAAGGCGACACCTATTACGCCTTTTACTGTATATATGTGGCGTTTTTATTGATTGGTAGTATAATTCGCCTAATTCTATTCGATGGCGGCCGAGCAGATCGAAAATGACCGAGGTTCAAGCGTGTTCTGCAGCCTATCACGTGACCGCGCAAATAGAAGGCAATGGAAGGACATCGAAAGTGGGCATGCAGTTGGTTGGCTCTTCGTCATCATCAGCACGCTTAGGCAGCAGAAGCAGCGAGAAACATCTACCAAGCGCCGCCCTCGTGATATGCTAATATGGATGAAATTGTAGATAATTGGTCAAGCGACGATGCGGGCGATTCTCGAAACTCTGACTTCCTTTCCTCCAATAATGACGAACACACAGTAGCGCCGTCCAGAAGCCGACTGAGACCTGCCGGAAGCACCTTAGGCTTCGTATCATATGCAGACTGGGAGCCAGGTCGGTCCTACGATAGCGAGCCGACGATACGCTACAACGTGGAATGGAAGCTGTCCGTCAGGAATAGAGGACAGGCCGGTGAATGGGAGTTGGATGTCGTGATTTCGCCGCAGAAGTTCTGGAAACACATACTCCGACCGAAAATCGTCAACGCATGCGTAGAAAGCCCTGGAAGGAGAAAAAGACTAAGCTTATTCTTTCAGTAACCGACCGCAAAACAAGCAAGATAACAAAAGAGTTTCCAAAATTAGATGTTAACTGGTCATTTGTTGCCAGCCAGCTTCAAGATTGGAGCAAGTTCCTGAATGACGGTAAGACCATCACTGCCACATTCGTGTTCTATTATGACAGTGTGGACAACGGTAAGCCTGGAAGAGGAGGAGCAACAGCCAATCAAGAGGCAGACTTGGAGGCTAGAACAGCCGGTTTGGGCCGGGGCGCATGCATTAGGAAGGCATATGCTCTTATGCGCTGCCCTGGGCGCCCCTGTACAAAAGGAGACCACTGCTGGCAGTATGGAGGAACGCATTACCCACTCCGACCACACCATGTGAGGATGCTCGCCGACCATATACAAGCAGGAAAACCATTAAACGGCCATGATGATGTCCCGGAAGAGTTCCGTCGACTAGTCGTGGATGACCAACGAGAACAAGAAGAGAGACAGCGGAGGGAACGTAATAAGACGCAGAATCCAAGAGAAGGAGATGTGAGTCCAATGACTCCCTGTCTATTGCTACTGGTTTGTGTTACCATGATGTTCCCGAAATGGTGTTCCCAACATCGCTACTTAAGTTGGATTTGTTAAACGAGGATGTAATCAGAGCGTATAGTGTCTGGCACCGCACTCGCGTAAGTTCCGAGCAAAAGGGGTATTATGATGAGATCGAGGCTTTGACTTTAGCGAACTGCTTCACTCTCGATATGATTGCCAGTAATCAGAACAATATGTACCGGTTCTATATCGGGGAGCGGGTACCAAAAGGTATTGCATGGAGTTATGTTTGCCATATCCAGCATTATTTGAAACAACGCGAGAGAGCTCAGAGGATCTGATGACAGGGTACACGATCTGTATACATAGACGTAGTAAAACTTATTCTGTTCTACTCGAGATATATCTGTGCCTTCCTAAAATGACCCCTTGCGATTCTCTTATCACGGCCTACTACTCTAACCTGCATAAGTAAGTATGACTTGAGGTCGGCCTGAATAAGATCCTCATCATCCATTGAGCACTTCCGGATGCGGTTCTTGACAGAACCAAATAGATATTCTATAGGGTTCAGACCAGGCGAGTATGGCGGCTGATACTCTATTATTACACCTGCCCTAGCAAACCTCTCCTTTATTTCTGGGGAAAAGAAATGGAATGAGGCATTATCCATAAATATAACAGATTGCGGCTCTGGGTATCTGCCACAGTATGGCAGTAGCCTTTCCAAAAACCCTTCTACCACGCCGACGTCTGTGTTATCCTCATAGACCTCACAATAGATCACACCATTTACAGTATATGCTGGTAGAATTTGAACTCTCTTTCCCCGATGAAAGGGTCTGACTTGCACTGGCGTCACGCCTTTAGGGGAATAACCCCGTGCAAGCAAGGCAACCCCACGATCACAACCACTTTCATCGATGAACATCATTTGTTCGGGATCATAATGGGATCGCCTCTCTATTTAATCATTACGGAGATCTTGGCTACGCTCTTTCGCGATATTTTGTGTTACTTTCTTCGTCCATCCGACTCGTTTGATGATTCGGCCAATGGTAAATCGTAATACATCTAGATCGTAGTTCTTGTATAGGAAATCTGCCATTTGCTGTTGACTGGTGCAAGGATATTGTTCCAGATGGTTCTGTAAAGCCAGCCACATATTCTCTGTGATCTCCCCAGGCCGGCCTAGCTTCACATGGCGCATCGATTGTTCCATACTGGAGAATATTGGATCGGGCTTTACGGACCGCGCGTGTCGAACAGGGGATGGTTACGGCTATCTCTGAGTCGATGATTGTTTCTTTACCCTCTAACTTACCTATAATGATGTCCTGAAGTGCCTTACGTTGAACGTGGGATAGCCTTGGTGCCATTCCAAATGATGATGTAAAGTGAAAAATGGCTGCGACATTGCGATCGGTGCCTAGACTAGACTACGACAGGGGTAGTGTGCCTATTTCTAGGCTAAGTCCAGAATTGGGAACAAAGAACTGCTTGAGTTCCAAGTCGCGAAGCATGTGGATTTTGTATATAGTGTATTTTGTAAGATTTTGACACTGTGCGGGGAACTAGTTTACAATCAATATGTGTTCAAAAAGAGGAAGCTAGTTATGCTCCAAACTGTATAGGCCCTGAGCTTTATCTATTATAATAGTAGATAGTATATACAGGGTTAGCCGAAAGGAGTGTCCGCTTTTTCTTCTATATTGAATTTAAAGACGGCCATTTTTGGACAAAGTGTGGCTGGTCATAGTGCGGAAAGAAACATGACACAGTGCCTTTTGTAAAGTAACTTTGTCGTTGGACTCGGCTGTACGCGCTCGGCGCAGCCGGCGACGGCGATGGTATCGGCCTCGTCCAGCCCGCCTCATGATGAGATACCCTTTGACCAAGGTCCTGGGACTGTCGTACAACGCGCGCTCCTCGGGCTAAGCCGACTGGGGTCCTCAGACGCACACAGGGTCCTCGCCGCTTCACGCGGTCTCTTATCCTATAGAAACAAGAGATGTGGTCGCTCCATGCTTGCTAGAGTTTATACCGCCGGATCATTTGGATAGCACCGGAATTCACGGCGTTAATATAGAGCCACAAAAAACTTTATTATAATACTATCCTCAAAATCAACCCTGAAATTTTGTTTAGAGTTGGATGCCTCGGAATGCAATCTCAGCCTTTGTCGGACTGACCCCTCTCTGCTTTAACCCGATTCGCTCGAGTTTAGAATAATAAATGACGATGACAAGTTGGAGGCCATAAACATAAACTCTACCGTCACACCAGATGAAACTTCTCTCTTTAGCTGATTCTATGGTAATGTAGTATATCAGTGGCTTGAAGTCAATCGAGGCTAAATAACAAACCAGGAGGAGCTAAGAACTAATAGGATTAGCTATGAAAGACAGGACGAATTGACAACCTTCGTGATTACACCAAAATGACGGTAGCATTCCAGTCAGATAACTCTGAGAATCCAGGCCCCTACACCTCGGGATCTCCGGGAGAGATCAAGTACCACTACTAAGTTGCGGAAAGGTCAGCTAAGAAACGTTGGCATGCTTTTGTCACTTGTGTCAGTCGCTATGTCTAATAAGCCCATTGTATTTTTAAGAGCCATGCCTGACCTAACATCTGAATTTCATGCTTTACATTTGTTTTAAACCTATTACTCCTTGTGCTTTAAAACAGTTTGGCATATTTGGTTGGTCGACCTCTGCGGGTTGGTTACCAGTAGTTTCAAGGTTTACAACAGCTACCTAGGTTTTGAGGCTCTCTCGCAAGGAATGGGCAGTGAGAAGTTCAACTCTTGCCACACTCTAGCCCGCCACTGACGAAACCGACCTCCCGAACAGGCTTGTCATCGTTGAGAATGGATATCGCGGCGGCATGTGTTGCACAAACCAGCGGTTATCTTTTCTCTGGCCTCGCAATCCGCGCATACGAAAAATATGTGCAATCTAGAAACAGAGATGACCTGGAAGAGGCGATTAAGAAAATTCGACAAGCCGTAGAATCCACCCCATACGACCATCCAGACCGGGCAAGCAGATTAAATAACCTTGGAATCCAGCTTGGTCGCCGATATGAACGGACTGGGGAGATAAATAACCAAGAAGAGGCGATTGAGAAAATTCGACAAGCTATAGCATCCATCTCAAACGACCATCCAGACCGGGCAAGCATATTAAATAACCTTGGAATCCAGCTTGGTCGCCGATATGAACGGACTAGGGAGATAAATGACCAAGAAGAGGCGATTGAGAAAATTCGACAAGCTATAGCATCCATCTCAAACGATCATCCAGACCCAGCAGCTTGGCTAAACAACCTTGGAATCCAACTTGGTCGCCGATATGATCGGACTAGGGAGATAAATGACCTAGAAGAGGCGATTG